TGTCAAGAATGCATAGTGCTGTACCTCCATCCCCCAATACATCTTCATGGCGTGGTGCTTGCGGTCTTCTCCGATATGACACCGTGTAGTCTGGCACATGGTTATCAGCGTTTTGAAGACCCTCCTGCTTTCATGGCTACCCGGAAGATGGAGACAGTACTATGTTCTTCGGAAATGTTGGTACCCACCTGCCAGACTACACGGTGTCACAACCCAGAAGACCTCAGATCTCATGTAATGCAATTCTTCTCACGAAGCTGTATGTGATGGCGTCCACAGTTCGAACCATGACGTCATCTCTTACCGCAGCTGTCACAGCCAGTGACGCAACGCGACAAATATGATGTAATGTTCTGCTGTTGGCAAGGTCTCCGTGTTTCTGGAGTTTCATACTCCTCGTCACCAGGAAAGTGGCAGGTTTCGAGTCCCGGTTGAGCGTTTGGGGCTACTTTCCTTTTGGGTAAAGGAGCCGTAGATTAAAGCTGCTTCACAGCTTCAGTTGATGGTTTTCTTTATGTAAAGACGCTTTCAGTAAAAGTAAAGTCCCTGTGCTGAACTAATTAAGCACAACGCCATAAAGACGTATGTGGAAGTGGATGTATAGATCCACGTGTTCTTGGCGTCGGCACTAGCTAGAGGTGAATGGTCAGCTTCACACCGCGGCCGCTTTGCCCACGGGGAAATAGTCCGCGGTACCCATTGGATTGGAGGCTGGATGGCCCCCAGAGCCAGTCTGGACCCTAGAACGCCGACCCCTCGGCTGACTGCGCCATCCCGGTTCTTAACGACGCTCTCAGTTGCTGCATGATTAATGAGGAATGAATTGGGAAATGACGAGCGAGGCAGCGGTCGGTGGTGTTCTTCCGCAGAGGGCGTGAAAGTCAGTACAGGTAGCCGGTCCCTGTGCCGAAGTCAGAGCTGGAGTTGAGACCTCTCTACCGCGAGCGTAGGTCCCTCAGCTGTGGCCGTGAACACGCCACACAGATCAGTGCATAAGACATGTCACCAAAATGTGGAGTGCAGATGCACTCTAGAGCTGTTTGTACCCCGTTGCGCGATTTCAGACGGTTGTTTATTGAGCGAGGGTTATCATACTGCGGCGGTGCGGTCGATAGCATTCCTAGCTTTGTATTCAGGAGGTTCCGAGTTCAGCCTCGTTCTGGAGAACCGTGGCAGACGGTTTTCATTTCCTTCGTCTCTCCAGGCGAATGTCGGGAACTGCTGCCTGTTCTAACCCTTTAAAGCCCAGTGGTATGCACCACCTGCTTTAATATACCAAAACTCTGGATTCTACCCACAGAGTGTATTGTGTGTTCGTAAACAGCGACTGTTTCCCTAAACAGCATTAACCGGTTGGTTGTTAGTATGGTTTCGGAGTGTTTTCTGTGAGGCAGGAACTTTATTTCTGAATATTGTTTACGTATATTTCACTCTTAAAACGGACTGCATCGATAAATGTTTCAGATATAAAACTTTTGTTTGTGGGAACGACGTCCACTGGCGTTCCCACCTGCTTGTCTCAGGGAAACAAACAGTATGGATACTCGAGGAGCGCCAGACACCAGAACGGGTCACTACTGGGTGTTTAACAAGATCGTTCGTCGCCCACTGCCTTTAGAGCGTTACTTACTGCATAAAGGTCGGGAGGTCGTGTGAAGGGATGGGTATGCGATCCATTGTCTGCACAAAATTGCTGTTAGCATCTCCAGGTTGTTATACACAGCAAGTTAGTTATCCCTCGTCCTATTTTTAATTTTCAGCTAGCCACATAGAACTGACTCCCTTTTGAAAAGCTTATAGTCGTTCAGCTTTTCGTGCAATTTTGTGTAGTTTATATTGTCACGAAATCAGAGTGACTGTAGACAGAGTTTGGTTTGGCAGTCGGGTTTACTGAACACTTACAGAACGTAACAACGAATAACTACGGCAGTGTCACTGAGTTACACACTCCAAAGATCACTGTAACTACAGCACACAAAGTCTTCTCAGTTTGCTGTGTCTTCACCAGTCGTTGCCTGGTGACGGATCCCAACAGTGTCCTCTGCTTCCGTACTCAACGTTCTTACCGGTTGGTGGCTCTCACAACTAAGTCATTGCTCCAACTGTGGACTCTCGCTAACTGTCCTGCCTATAACATCTCGGCACGGACCTCACAGAAAACACATTCTGTCTATTGCTGTTTGCGAAGCCATTCCTCACTAACGGCTGTTGTATAGCTGCTTCCTTCGCTGTCGTTGCCTAGTGTGTTATATCAGACTCATAATTTGCACTTTACGCCAGATATTATTAGAATGATCAAGTAAAGGAGAACTGGATTGGCAGGCCATATAGCACGAATGGAAGAGACGTGTATACAGGGTTTAGGCAGGAAAACGTAACAGAAATAGATCACTAGGAAGACAAGGACGTAGGTGAGGGGATGATATTAAAGTGTAAGGTAAAGTTGTCCGTTTGGTTAATTAAGCACTGTACCATGAAGGTGAAGGGGGAGAGGAGGTTTAGCTCCACCATTCTTGACCTCTGCACTAGATGGAGGTGAGTGGTCAGCTTAAGGCCACGGCCGCTTTACCACCAGGAAAAGAGACCCCGGTACCCATTGGATAGGAGGCTGGGTGGATCCCAGAGCCAGTCTAAACGACGTGGAGGGAAGAAGAATGTTGCTTGTATCGGGACTCGAACTCCGAACCCTCGGCTGTCCAGCCCGTAGCCAGTCGCTGTACCGCCCGAGCTGTCCCCTACGTGTAAAAAGTAATACTTTAACAGGCCTTGCATATGGAAAGGAGGATGCATTTTAGCAATACCGACACGAGTTCGTTGAAGATGGAGGCATTTTGTTCCTCCGAAACGTTGGTACCCACCTACCAGATACATCTTTATCTTTACCCAGACGACGCCAATATGAACTGGCAAACTGGCTCGAGCGATGAACCTTCTAACTGAAATTCAAAGAGGTGCCCTGTTGGAATCCCGACATTATGTTCCTGGTTTTCCTCGGTCCTTTTAATTAAATTCCTGGATAGTTCCATGAATTGGGCCATGAGCAGAGTACCACATTTGTGTGCATCCAGTAGCAACTGCATGGTGGAGAGTGAATTTCAGTTTTCACTGCCCCACATTAGCGAGCCGTTGCGTGCCTCGCGCTGCTAATTAGCTCCTTGCACTCACCTGCCAGTTTAACGACGCACGGGGTTATTGCCTTTTCGATACAAAGGTACCATGACACACCAGTTACCGCAGGATGCGTAAAATATGTTTTGTTGTCTTTCCGGTCTGTTCTTCCTCCATGTTTTTCGTTCTTCTTTGTGTCGAGGAAGCTGACTCAAGCGGTGAGGGTTCCTATCTCGACCGAGACACGGGTAATCCCGACTGAGGGTTAGTCCCTGCGGGCAGGTACCGGGTTAGTACCCCAAATTAGGCAACGACAACATCCTTCCACATCCTTTCCAAGTCATTCTTCATTGAATGGTCCTGTCATTCGGGGCTGTATAGTTTGAGTTACTGGAGCGTCGATAAATAAACTACCAAGAAATGATTACAGTGGTTGGCCATGTAGAAGGAATGCACGAAACAGTGATACCGCGAAGGGCGTTAAAATTACATTGTAAAGGAAAGGGGCATTTTGAGTGATTTGGAAGTAAACGGTTTGTCCAGGCGCTGGAAGAAAGCAAGACTTCTTATCTGTAGGGGCCTTAAAAATGACTGTTGTTTCCAGTTCTCAACATTCAGTTTTTCCTCTTATGAGGAAAACATATGGAGGTCCTGAGAAGTGTCATCTTTTGTCACAGTTCCATCTCCCATGATGGAGAACATAGCATGCACCTGAAAAGAGCCGTTGGCCCACCTGCAATTTCCATTGGTATGACTCTGTACTTTAGGCCTGAGTGACGAGATTCTTGCAACTTTCTTGGGCCGATTTCTCACTGTACAGTACACACTTCAACCCTGAAGCTGGAAGGAGAATCTGAAGCTTGAGTGTCTGCCTAGAAATCTGAAAACCATAGCCTGATGAGTTACCACCATGAAACCCCCAGCATTTATATATACACATAAACTAGACATCAGTCTATCTATNTGTACAGTACACACTTCAACCCTGAAGCTGGAAGGAGAATGTTTATCTGAAGCTTGAGTGTCTGCCTAGAAATCTGAAAACCACAGCCTCATGAGTTACCACCATGAAAACCCCAGCATTTATATATACACATAAACTAGACATCAGTCTATCTATGGGAATAGTGGAAGCTAAAGGATGAAATTGTCCCGGTGCTTAATTGAGCCCCATGCCATTAGGACATATGGGGGAGTGGTTGTATAGCTGCAAGCTCACTACCTGCCTGATGCACATTTCTTGCTTGGATTATTTTTCACCCCTGAAGATGGGGGCGACATGTTCATCTGAAACTTTGGTTGGCTTTCAGCATGCTATGCGTTGTTATTTATCANAGATGAAATTGTCCCGGTGCTTAATTAAGCCCCATGCCATTACCTATGCTCGCTACCTGCCTGATGCATATTTCTTGCTTGGATTATTTTTCACCCCTGAAGATGGGGGTGACATGATCATCCGAAACTTCGGTTGGCTTTCAGCATGCTATGCGGTGTTATATATCAGAAGATCGGACTCCTCATAACTACTGTGAGAACCCCAGACCCTACATAATGTTAGAAAATGTTTGGTTCATGAGTGAAAGTTTATTGTCATTTAAATATAATTATTTCAAATTGCATAATGAATGGGATGTGTGTTCATGTGTCTTCTATACAAGTAAAGAGAGGATACCAAAAGACTGTCCATGTCACAAATTTTGTGCCATTTTTTGATTATGTACTTATTATCCACACTTAATGGATAGATTGTATAATTATTGNATGCCATTTTTTGATCAGTGCATCCGATACAGTCAAGAATGGTTTGTTTCCTTCATGTCAAAGAAAAAAAAGAATTTGTTGCACTATGTAATTGGCAGCTGGATTAATGAACTTTGTCTTCACTGTTGCAGATGGTACTTTGGCAAGATAAAGCGTATCGAGGCCGAGAAGAAGTTGCTGCTGCCAGAAAACGACCATGGAGCATTCCTCATACGAGACTCGGAGAGCCGTCGCAACGATTACTCCCTTTCTGGTGAGCAAGCCTGATATAGAAGGCAAAATTATTGCTTATGGCAGTTGGTAAGCAAGCTAGTTGTTGGGCCGCAGCGTTCGGGTACACAAGAAGTCTTTGGGACATGTTTTCTGTCAGTGTCTGATATGTGAACAAAAGATTGTGTTGGTTAGAGTTCCAGAAATATGCCCACTTGCCATAGACAAATTAAGATGTGTACTGAAATATTTCTGACAGCCTCTATGGTCTAGTGGTCAGAGATCATGGCTGCAGATCCAGAGATCCTGGGTTTGATTCCCAGTGCTACCAGATGTTCTGAGAAGTAGTGGGTCTGGAATAGGGTCCACTCAGCCTCATGAAGATAATTGAGGAGCTGTTTCAAGGAAATAGTGGCTCCGCTCTAGAAAACTGAGATTAACGGCCATGGGGATCCGTTGCGTTGACCTCGTGACACTCTCTGTCCGCAAAAGTTGGCACTAACTTCGCCTACAAGTGGCAGTCGCTTGAACAGTATAGTTTGCGTGTGGACTACAGACCATGGAGTTACTGAAATATTTCTAGTGAATATAGGACTGCTGTGAGATTACTGTTCTTGTTGTTATTATCATGATCATCTGTAAGTTGAGCCTTAGTCCCGTTCTGTCTTAGAGTGAATGATTCCATCTTCTTCTGGGTCTTCCTATGCCCCTCTATCCTACAGATTTCTTCTTTCAGAGACATTTTTAGTATTGCTTTTTATATTCCCTGAAAGTTTTGCATCTGTTCCCCTCAGGATTTTTTGGAAAAAAAATCAAAATTGTAGTCTGGTAGTAGTTTATTGGCGACATTTTGGAGCTCATTGCCCAGTCAGTATACTGATGGAGTTAGCATCCATTGTCTGTGTGTTACAGTTCGGGATGGAGATACAGTGAAACATTACCGCATCAGACAACTGGACGAAGGGGGCTTCTTCATTGCTCGTCGCACTACATTCCGGACACTGCAGGAATTGGTTGAACATTACAGCAAGGATGCAGATGGCCTTTGTGTGAATCTTCGCAGACCATGCGTCCAGGTGAGTCACAGAGCCTGTGTTTTGATACACTGGGATGTTGTGTGGTGTTGCTAGGGAAACCAGTTACCTTACGTGGCTCTTACCCCTCTCTCTGCTGAGATTTTGACTGGATAATCTTTCTGTTCTTTTCCATCCCCATGGTAACTTATACACTCAAGATTGTCGGAGGTGCAAGTGTCTGATGGTTGGACCTCTATTTTCTCACAGATAATGCCACACTTGAAAGAAGTACTAAGAAAAAGGACTGGTTTCAAAGCGTTATGTTTTTTATTTGTGTCATGGAAAGGGTGAAGCCATGACAGCACTTCATTTTATTGCATCAAACATGGGAGTGACTTGGAATATTTTATTCTGGTATCTTAGATTTGAAGAGTTTATATTACACAGTCAAGTTAACTTTGTTCATTCTGGTCAGTCACACTAGTCAGTACAATGCAGTGATCTGATGGATGCCTTTATATGTTTTGGTCAATTAATGACCATCATCAGAAGGCCTCAACCAACAACAAAGGGAGAAGCAGCCCAACAACAATCAGACTCTTAACCAGATATATAAAGAAGAAGAAGAAAACACTGCCCAGACCTCCAAGGGTGGCAGTGTATCCAATCTCCCATTGATAAAAGGGACATGAAGACGTGAACCTTAGCAGTTTAAGATTTTAAATATTAAGAATTTTATTAATATTTTAACTCACCACATTTTAGCTTAATTTAAAATCTTTGTATATAAAACTTTGGACAACTTTGAACTTGATGTACTATGATTTATGTAAGAGTAGTTTCCTGAAGTGCTGTTATTTGCCTTCTGAAGACAGTCATAAATTGGCCGAAACCCACAGACGGTGTAAGTCAGACCATTTTCTACAGTCAAGTTTCGAAGAAATAACATATTAGGCATCTTTTAATAAATCAGGTAGCAGGGGGAGGAGGGAGAAGGAAGAAATAAAGAAAGAACACTTTACATATCCTTCCATCTGTGATGTAACATTAGTGCCTAAACGACAAAGGAGGGCTCTTTAAAAATTTGACATTTCAAGCTTTCACTAGAGGTTGTCAGGCAATTCTGATTATCATCCGTGTTCATCCATAACAAAGCTCACTTTACGTTGGCTAGTAACTGAACTTTTTATATATATCAAAACCATTGTTCAAGTTTTAATGAAATTTGTTATGACGGATCTTAGCGTGACTTCAGTTAGCTGTGTAGACCAGTTTCAGAGCCCACTTTATGTAGGGCCACAGATGGTCTTCCTCATGCATCCCCTAAGTTGTGTTGAAATTCACCATTGTGCATTATTAGGCTGTTGAAATGTAAATTTTGCTCATTTTATGTAAAACGTTTTGTGTGTTTAATTTTGAAATAATATGGCTTCCCAGTTCCAGAATTTATTGCTGTTGTTAAAGTCACTTAGATGCACGTGCCAGACATTTGTGCAGTTCCTAGTCTGAAGTGTCCAAATTTCTGTGGAGCTGCTGGATGCCCATGTTGCGTGGTTAAACAGAACTGTTAGGAGCCGCCCGTTATCACATTTTTATCTTGAGAGAGTTATCTGTGTTTCAGTTTTAAGTATGGAAGCTTAACCCTCTCCCACCCTTAGTCAGGCAAACTGTAAACAGTTTTAACCCTTTTATTTGACCAAGCAGTAATTATGTTACACTATTTCATGTTAAGTTATATGTGTAACCTTTATACTGGAGCTAATATGTGAAAGGAACACTGCCCCTGCACAGGGTACACTCATGTGAGCAGTTGATTCATCAGTACTGAAGGATGTTACTTACTGTTGGAATAGATAAAAGGGATTCAAGGGGTGGGCATCAAATGACACTTGCACCACAGTAGTCTGCGGCATATTAGCATTCCCTTCCGAGATTAGTCCTGTAGTAGCCCCACAGTCCCAGATGATTAAAAGTCCCAGTTCAGCTAAAACCTCACAGTCACATAGAGACAGTATGTGAGGTTGTTTTTTTCTTTGTCACGGCACCGTTCACAGATGGGACTGTTTGCTGGCCCCAGTTTGAATGTGTGTCATGTAAGTAGTCCCATATGGTTCCTGTTTATATCCGACAGTTCCCTCATGCTTTCGGGATAGGGTTCCCTTGCATGATTCTGTCCAGACAGTTACTGTTACTCACAGAACGTAAACATGGACACACTTTAGCGCTGAAGTTAAGAACGACAGTTTACACAGTTTTAATATTCCACTGGGAGAGGGTTAAATGGTGTACTTGTATTTGATTGGGTGGTGACAGTGGTCCAATTACTGTTTGTCATTTTTTTTTCCACTGCTTCTCCCGCTGGACATTTTGGTAAATGATTTAGTGTAGTCCTGCTGTGTATTGCATACTACTCTGACACGTAGCTTATTCCAGTGCATGCCCCCCCACTGCTTCTCCTTCTTGTACTTGTTGCGGGTTCCTGAACCACCCGTGACATAGACAGCAGGTAAATTCTCAGAACAGAAGTCTGTCTGAAATTTCTGTTCTGTTCCTTGTTTTTGTCTTGCACTTCCCTTTGTACAGCAGAATCTAACCTTGTGACTGTCGCCACTTTGTCCTGTCTTCTGAATCAGTTTCAGTGTTCCTGAAATTTATTTCTGTGACAGAGATCGGAAAAATTTGATGTGTTGTACCTGTTTAATGCCTGTCCCTGGCCTCGCTGAGATATCACACCAAATCTAAACCTTCTGTTTCATGTCGGCATGATTGCATGTCAAGTTGTATTACTTTCTGAATGCTACTGACATCTCTAAGTCAGTATTTGTAACTGTGAGAACTTGGGAAATCAGACGTTGAAGAGTCATTCTGTAAGCCGTTTAAGTTATTTCATTGGGTTTTGTTTCATCATAAATCCTGTGCTGAAATGACCTGCCAGGAAATGTTTGGGTTTAAATCCTCAGTGTTCTGCAGAAAGAATTGAACATCAGCAGTGGCTGAAGGCACCAAATGTTGAAATTTTGTTGCGATAAACATTTTACTCTATAATGCCTTGTAGATCACACATTGGACTTGATATTATTTGTAGAAAAGTGAACACCTAGTAAGCAAATACGAGTAGGCATTACTGTGGCAGAAGTGTGTTACTGAGGCATAGTAACGTATAACCAAAAGCCAAACATCACCATCTCTGAGGAAAAGGTGATGTTGTGTACTGACAGAGGATGCAGAATAGTTCTGTGAGCGGGTTCACAGCCCATCCAAAGGTTACATTTCTCTTCTGCAAGCTGAAACCAATGGGTTAAGAGATTACTGGTTGCCCTTCCATCCCTTAGATGTGAGGAGGATCCAGTAAGTAAGTCACAAATGGATATAAAACATAAAACATGTGATATAGGAACCTGGAAAAAACATTTTATTTCCTGAGATATCCTCCACCAACAGTGAAATGTTTCCCCATCACTTTATCGGTGCATTGAAACCTGCGGCATAGAAATCCTTTTGACTGTTGTCTCAGCCACTACTGCACATGGCCAGGCATCATCTGCGACTTTCAAGCACCCATGAGGGAATTTCTTGACCCACTTGTGAGCCGCTTTATGCAACAAATAATTCCCACTGTAAACAGGAAACATTTATTTATGAATATCCTTTGCACTGAGCCCCTTTGCCCACAAAAAAAAAAAAAACAGACAACAGAACACTGCTCTTCAGTAGAACACTTCTCAAGCACAGTCGCCATTTTGACTACTGAAACCAGCCTCTGACCATGTGCATGCGATTCTGCTACCTAGACTGTCATGAAGCTGCTACTTAGTGATACACATAGACAACCTATTACGCCCATTACAGCTGTTTTACTTCTATCTGTGACCTGTTTACTCACGCTCCCTCGTATATCCATCCTCATCTTCTAGATGATATGGACACTGGTGCTCTTGTGTGTGGGGTGGGCTCCTGAATCTGTGCTGTGGCGCCTTCAGCTCTTGTACCATTTTCTTGGGAAAAGGACAGAAACAGAGAAACTCTACATTTGCAGTAAACAACTGCCACAAGGCTACCTCCTTGTCATTTGTGAATGATGAGTGAAAATAACATTCCTAAGCATCCTGGTAGCATGGAATGGTAGAATCAGTGATGAATGATGCATTGGAGAGGCTTTGGAAGGCGCAGGTCATAGCATAACTGAGAAAGTATCCTGGCATTTGTCTCGAGGGACTCCAAGAAGTACCATAAAGAATCTGTCGGGATAACAATGTCACAGTTGAAGTCTGAACTGAGGACCTCCTGATTACAAGTGAAGAGTGTAACCATTAGACCAACCTGCCCAGTCCATCCCGTGCTAAATACACTCCTGTTTGTGGGCGCATGATTGCAGTTGTGGCTGAAATTACGATAAAATCTTGCTTTTTACTTCCATATTTATATTACAGTTGATAGTAGGCATTTCTATTCCTCTCTTCTGTATGACCTTAGACATCACAGATAATTAGTGCAGAACCAATCATTGATCTATTTGTGTTAAATTTGTAGTCATAATTCACTCTTTAACTTAGAGATGTGGAACACTCCTGGCTGGAGATAATGAATTTGCATGTTTTCTAATGTTTTATTAATATGCTGGATGAATTCTTTCATAAATACATGATTTTAATACTCTTGCCCCCCCTCCCCCCATCTTATCACTCTTTATAATGTGACTATGTATAGATGTCCAGTTATGAAGTTTTCTACTGAGATCTAGAAAATTTTACATCAGTATTTGAAGCAAATGTTCCTGGTGCTTTGTTGTTTAATTGAGCCCCACTGACTGAGAGATGAGCACTTGTTTCTACTTGTGGCCAGAGCAGGCCAATTTGTAGTGGCTGTGGCCTGGAAAATTCTGTAATTCAGAAATTGTTAAATACCTAACAGCCACTTCTAGTGGGTGCATGTGCTTTGTGGACATGCTATGCTTTATGCGGGATACCGGATTCTCACAGCAGTGACTATGAAGAGTGCTCTCATCTAGGATATGACACTCTGTGTTTTGATGTGTTGGGTGAGCATAGCGCCTCCATCTTCAGGGTTGAAGCTTGGTTCTTGCTGGTTGTTTGGCTTACTCTAATGAGGTATGTCCCTCCAAAACATCAGTGAACTGCTTGGTATCACGTCCCAGAAAATAATACTCTTTGCTTCTTTTGTGTCGTACCACTGTTCTTCAACGTGTGTTGAAGCGATTCATTGTTTTTGTTCGGTGTATTGCGTAGGTTGGTGTGCTGAAATATCTTCTGTTTGTTGGTGGTCTTGTTGCCAACCTGTCTGGTTTGAGGTGCAGCAGTGGGAAAGGGGGTTGTACCCTTCTGAATGTTACCTTGGTCAGAGTTGGATATAAATATCTAGTCCGTATTTTGACGAATGTATCAGCAGATGTTACAGTAAAGTTCAGAACAGGACTGAATTAAGAAACATGTCTCTATCTTGGACATGCAATATTGCAAGTAATTCAAACATGCAACTTGTAATAATATCTTAATAAATATAAAAGTAGCAATACATTGTTCTTCACCGTGTGTTGCCACAGAGGTACATAACGCGTACTGGGCATCTGTCATTACGTGAATGTAATGTGCATGTTTGTAAAGTTTGCAGTCTTTGTCATATGTAAGATTTGAGGCTCTCAAAATAATAGTAGTAAGAAGGTAGTCTTTTTTGTTGTGACGCAGTGTAGTTTGGTAAATAGATACCAGTGTCACTTTGGCTCTGAAGTTGTAGCCAGTATGTTCCATAGAAATATTGTTATCTGTATACCAAACTACATGGCATCGCAGCCCACAGGACAATAATATTATTTTTAATCTTTAGTTTATTAGTCATGTTTTATTTATAAGGAATAAAAAATGTAGGATTTGAGATTCTTACAGAGATGGTTGTGATGAATTGTTTCAGGATATAATGCCTTGTAGTCTGTTGAAAGTCAAATGACATTTTTGGTTGTTTAGGTGATATGCAAGTATTATGGTAGAGTTCTAGATGTGATTTATATCCTCACTTTCAGTCTCTGTTTATTTACTTGAGTATAGTTTGATTTCATAATTAAGAGTGTTATTATTCCTCTTAAGTTCTGGCTTCTCTGTTTTGTGATGATAAGTAAAAAAAAAATGGCTAATCCCACGCAGAGAACAGGCACCTCCTCTAGTTCGAAATATGTTTCACTAGGCAAATGTTCATAAAAATGCATAAAAGATAATTTTTATTTTTAATGCAGTGTGATATATGCATACATTGTATACCGTATGTACAGTATGATTAGATTTACAGGAACAGATTATATTTGCAGTAAACAAACACGAATGCTGTCAAATCTTGAAGAAAGCATTTGGAAAGTACATAGTGGGTTGAGGTTTAAGTCTTTCCTTGTGGAATGTGGAGACCTTATTTTCAGGAAATAATCTAGCAGCAAAGAGAAATGCTTGTACATCAGTCACTCACTCCAATCAGAATAGCTACGGAGCACATGTAAACAAACAATAGGCACGTAGAAAGTTTAATTAAAAATGAATTGTTCCCCAGTGTCCATTATGTCTTAACATAACAGCTGTTGCAATGAAGAGAGGTGTTGTGCATACCACGTGAAGAATACTGCCCAGACCTCTGAATCAATAGAAAGAGAGCATACTGTTTGCTTGTCACCCATGTTCTGTTCACATGTGCTCTGTGGGCATTCTGAATGGAGTATAGCACGTGTAGATTCTTTGTTTTGCCAGTAAAAGTGGCCTTGGTTGGCTTGCTGTAGTGTGACATTGTGTCTGCAGATTGAGAAGCCAATGACCAGTGGCCTGTCCCACAGCACACGAGACCAATGGGAGATTGAGCGCAGTTCCCTGAAGTTTGTGCGCAAGTTAGGACATGGGCAGTTTGGTGAGGTTTGGGAAGGACTCTGGAACAACACGACACCTGTTGCTATCAAGACGCTGAAACCAGGTGAGTCATGGGTCTTGCACAGTGACTGCAAAGTACTGGCATCTAAGGTCATTGCAAAAATGGTGTATTAAACACCATCCGTTTGTTTCACATGCATGTGTCATGAAGGTTATGTGCCATAGTGATTTGTACACGCTGCCACCCTGCATAATTCTGAATCATGTCAGAATTATTTTACTGTCTGCTGCTCAGTTTTCGTGTTACCGAATAATGTCTGTGTCCTCACATAAATTATGGTGGCAGAGTTAATACCGCAGAAATGCGGTTGGTATTTACAGAAGAAAGTGTTTAATATTGATATGTTACGTGTGAATTCAGTAGCAGATATCCAAGAAAGCTACCAGTCAGTTACAGAACAGTGTATCCAATCATTTATGATTTATCTGTATATTAATTTAATTTTATCATATATTAATTCAAATCCCTGTGTGGCACTACTCTTTGACCACCTTGTACGTGAAGTTTTTGGAGGTTGAGCTGCTACTGCTTTTATAGGATTGGTTTTTATTGTGCTGACAGTTTTATTTTTATTAGTTTCTTTAGTTGTCGTTATATTCCACAAAGACCACTCATTGAGATTTGTGGATTCTCAGAATGGTTGTGTAAATGTTATGTTCTCGAATGTGAAGCTGTATAGATTGTTAGGTGGGTACCAACATTTCAAAGCGTACGAACACTGAAGATGGGTGCAACAACTTCTCCTGAAATGTTGGTACCAATGTGCCAAACTGCAGTGACGCCTTCACGTGAGATCTCTGTGGGAACAGTGGATGTGAACACTACATAAGGGTAAAGCTCAAATTGATGAATGTTGCACTCTACGAACAAGACTTCACATCCCAGAAGACCGCAGTCTTGAAAGACCATTCTGTAATGCATCCAGGTCATGTGTCTGGACCTGTTAGCTTTGGCATGGGATTCTGATGCCATCTTTTGAGGCAGAAATGACTCCCCAGGTAAGGACATTTGGTAAACACTTTTGATTGAACTGTGACCTCTTCCGTTCAAATTGTTTTCTTGTTTATCATCCTGTCATTCAACGTTATACAGTCTAACTAATGACAGAATTATTAAATAACCCACAATAGAAAAATGTAAATAGAATTTTCCAGTATTGCGTCAAACGATGTACATAATCTGAGTATTTAGAATCATCAGACATTTTGGAAAAAATGACAGTTTTGTTTTTCATCATTTTTGTAAAGTACTGTTTCCTTATTGAGAGACGCAGTAGAATGGTTTCTCATGTAAAAGGGTCTCTGATTTGACACGTTCAGTATGGAATTTCCTTCCTCTGGTTTATAGCATAGAGAAAGCATTTTGTGTGTGTGTGTGTGTGCGTGCGTGCGCGCGCTCAGCAGGTTCCATTATGATCTGGTATCCCCCCCCATTTGTTGCCCATCATATTTGTCGTTATTGTATCCCCGTGGACTAAACGCCAGTACATCCTTTGCGTGTGTCCTGTGTTGTGCAGGTACCATGGATCCCAAGGATTTCCTCGCTGAGGCGCAGATCATGAAGAAACTGAGGCACCAGAAGCTGATCCAGCTGTACGCAGTGTGCACCATGGAGGAACCGATATACATAATCACAGAACTCATGAAGAACGGCAGCCTCCTGGAGTTCCTGCAGGGTGTGTACTCCTCACCATATTCTGTAGTCACTTTGTGTTTCATAGAGGCTAGACAGGCTAGGCCATCACTATTGGAGCGGCTGTGCTGGCTTACATGGTGGTCTTTATCTAGGGAATCTGACAGCCACGGATTTTGTCAGCTCCTTCAGTGAAATGTTTGGATAGTACCTCCAAGATGACTGTGCTAATTTACAGTCAGCTCATAGATGGCCATGAGGTTGTCAGTCTTACATGCCGGCTGCCCTTTATGTCCAAAAAGATTCCTGGTACTCATTTCTGTTAGAGGCTAAGTCGACCCCAGAGCCATAATGCGGCTGGAAGAATTAGATCAATTGAAAAATCCAATGACCTCATCGGGAATTGGACCTGTGACCTTCCAACTTGTAGCATAGTGCCTCAACCAGCTATGCTACCTTGTATCCTGCATCTTGAAATAAACAAAATTAAATCTTACTCTAAATTCTAGTTTTTGAATATCTCACTATTTGTAGATTTGTAAGTGCCAGTGTTCAAGAGTGACCAGTTGTCTCTGTCTTCAGGGTAGAAAACTGCCCTGAAGATGGGAGCAGCATGTTCCTGTGAAACATTGCTACTGCCCTGATGATGGAGGCTGTTAGTTCCTCTGACATGTTGCTACCTATCTGCAAAAGCAAATGGCGCTGTTGCCCTTAAATTGGAGACAAGACACTGATATCTATCTACCAAGTTGCATGGTGTCACATTGCAGATGACTGTAATCTTAATCTCTCTGTTGGTTCTTCATCCCTCTGCCTTACAGATCCTCTGCTCACTGTATGAACTTCCAGATTATCAACAGTTTTCGTCAAAATAAATTTACCGTAGGAAAATGCCAAGCAGAGGATGAGAAAGGCACTCATATATATTTCAGGATGATTGCTCACAGTACAGTTGTGTTTTGACAGGTAAAGGACGCACGCTGAAACTGCCACAGCTTATCGACATGGCAGCACAGATCGCTGCTGGCATGGCCTACTTAGAGTCTCAGAATTACATCCACCGAGACTTAGCTGCCCGAAATGTTCTCGTTGGGGATAGCAATATTGTGAAAATTGCAGACTTCGGCCTTGCTCGGCTCATTAAGGTAAAGTCCTGCAGATGCACTTAGCAGTTTAACATCTCGGCACATGAGTCTGACTTCGTGTCAGTTTTTGACATGGCTGCATTTTCATGTCCATGATTTATTCTGACCGTCTTACAGTGCATACATTTATTCACCTTACTCTTCTCTCTTGCACTACATGTTTCGGCACTAAAGTGCCATCTTCATATCATTGAGACAGGAAGCAGTGGAACTTAGCATTGATCAGCCCACAAACTGGTGTCTGGTCATTGCTAACGGCAGTTGAAACAATTTATAGGAACGTGATGCATGTTGGAATTCATTATTGTCATGATGTGTTCCCTTGGCAAAGCTTTTTGACATTAGTCTGGAATTTAGTAAACGTAAGATTGGCTGTTATGGTCATCAGAACCATTATCATCAAGTCAGAGAACTTAATGTTTCATCTTTTTGGAGGACATTACTTGATTTGTATTATAGCAAAATCATCAAAATATTGACTTCTGATGTTTCAGACTTGCATTGCATTGTTGCCTATGAAGATTAACAAACAATCTGTCAGAGAACAGTCACATCCATATTGTACGTCTGATATTGCAGGAGGACGAATATGAGGCGCGTGTCGGAGCTCGGTTCCCCATCAAGTGGACGGCTCCAGAAGCTGCCAACTACAGCAAATTCTCTATTAAGTCAGATGTCTGGTCATTTGGTATCCTGCTTACAGAACTTGTTACATATGGACGTATACCTTATCCAGGTGCGTGCACAAACAATAGGTTCTGCTGTGTGTACTTCATACTGTACTAAAATGATATCTGAAGACGGTTAGCATAGTGGTAACTGAGACACGTTGCATTCAGTTTGAACTCTCACCAGGAAGTAGCAGTTGTATGTAGATGTTCTGTCATATGTTTGTCCAGTCCCTTCACACCAAATGTTATCAGTTATTTTTGCCAATTGACTGACATAAAGAGTAAAATATATTAAACTATAATCTTGTCCGTAGTCTTGTATGTGTGTAAAACTTTGTGTCTCACATTAAGGGAAAAACAGAGAAGGGGGAGTCCCAGTCACTATTCCAACAATAAATCTAATCAAACAATTTGTGCCTTCTTACAGGTATGACAAATGCTGAAGTGTTGCACCAGGTGGAGCACGGTTACCGCATGCCGTGCCCTCCAGGATGTCCCACTGCCCTGTATGACATTATGTTGGAATGCTGGCACAAGGACCCCATGAAGCGGCCAACATTTGAGACCCTACAGTGGAAGCTAGAGGACTTCTTTACAATGGAAGGTTCGGAGTACAAAGAGGCATCGGCATACTGAGAACACGCCCACCTCCCGGAATGGCCACTCTCAACGCTACGGTTACGCCTTCCTCTTCCTCCCCTCCCCATGTAGAGGGTGCTGTAATGGGTTGCTTGGACAGCGATTACTTCCATCCCCTTCTTCCGTCACACCTGTCGCACAAGTCGCATCTCCGATGCAGCCGCCTACAGATTCTGGCCAATGACGCTGCAGTAAGCTGTGATCCAGGACAACAGCCGAACAGTTCTTCTTGATATAAGCAAAAACATGAACTTTGCTTTGCTGTCTTTAGCATTTGGTGTATCGAGTATTCATGTATCATCAACATAGGTTTCCCTTGGACGGGGCAACTGGGTGCACCAATATTCTGTGATATATGTCACCGTTGTCCACAGAAATATTTGTACTGCTTTGTACCAGTTGCAGTATGTTTCACATAACTCCACTCTCTTCCTTATTAAACAGAGGAATTTCTGTCTAATTTTTCCAAGTTAAGGACTTCCCTCTCTTAATGCTCGTTTTCCCCGATTCCAGAAATCTTGCTTCATTGTTAAATGCCCTCCCTTTAAACTTACCTCAGTTTAGTGGTGAAATCTGTTGTCCGTTAGAGAAGCATGAACGCACTCCATGCTGTGAAAGAGATATCTCACGCAGAAAGACTGACCATGTGCTCAAGTGTTGAATTAAATATAGCTTGCTGTGTACTGGTATTTGAGTCTGTTTTATTGAATTTGAGTTTCTCATGTTGGTGACTATGGAGAATGTGGTATTCTGGGCTATAATACGGTGTAGATCGGATAGCGCCTGATGTTTCGGAGGAAAGTATTGCATCTCTCATCAAGATTGGGGAGTAGCAAGCTTACTCTTCTCAGGGGACAAAGTGAACTGGGTAATAACTGATTGTTATGTCACATATGCAGATGCAGTATAAACGCAGTTTGGCCTTCAGCATGTGTTCATTTTGTTTTCCACCAGCCTTAAACCAGGCCTGTACTTTTTGCAAGCCTGAACTTAGTAATATTATTGACACATTCAGTGTAGAAAGATGATGTCTTACCTTGTGTGATTTGAGGTTCCGCAGCAGCGTCTGTGAAGATTAGTGCCTTCTGGGATGTGACACCGTGTAGTTTGGTAGACTGTTACCAACATTTTGGCACAACCTGCAGTTTCTATTGTCACGTTCTTCTAACATAAAGATGGATGAAGCATGTTCCTCCTAAATGTTGGTAATGAGCTACCAGACTGCACTGCATCACATTCCAGAAGACAGTAATGTTCAGTGTCTTCTCTCTGTTGTCACATGGAATTACTGTGGCTTGTGATGCTGTTACATCGGTGCTTTGATGATGTTTTGTCAGGTATCCAGTAAATCTGGCGGCATGTCTGAAATGTACTGCCTCCATGTATATGACCTCAGTATACCTGACTATGATGATGATGATGATGATGATGATTAGCTGTTGAAATATGTAGTATGTATTGGGAGGTGGGATAGCTAAGTTGGTGTAGTGACTGGGCTAAGGGCTGAATGACATGGGAATCCTTCTTTCATTCTGGTGTTCAGAATCGCTCAGGGGCTTTTCCCCAGCGATAATGTGGCTGGTGCATAAATCTGCACATGCACCCCATGAAGTGCTGAAGGAGTGTGTGGAACTGTACCACCATTTCCCCATATATCTTCATGGTGTTTTGCTTAAGCCAGGGTGGCTTGTGGGCAAATGCTGTTGTATATAAAACCCACAGTACTTCCTGAAATGACCTTCAGAGAGTAACACAAAAAATTCAGGTTGAAGTAGATGCTTTCTTCCAAACATTGGGATGTCACATTTGGTGACATCTGTTGACAGAAGTGATATACTAATTGATGAACAATGAATGAGCTGATCCTTTCATCTGTGGTGGTTTTAACACAAGTACCCTTAGCCATTGTAGTCAATAAGGTGCAAAGGGTTAAGTACAGGGACAACTTTACTTTTATGTCATGTAATAGAATCACATTGGCAGTATGTGTATTGTCTGTAACTTATGTACCCTTACACATTACACTTCATATCATGGTTTGTTTAAATGTCTAAGACATGTTTGAGTATGCATCCTTATGGGAGAGAAGCCTTTGTAACTCTCTAATGATGATATAATGATTCATGGCCCTATCTGATGGGGGTGCACCCTCGTAAATATTTTAGACACAGTTCATCTCATGCTTCCTGGTACCTGGCATCAGCTGGTTCCAGTTATATTTATTAAGAAGCAAAATTCATGTTGTCGGTGTCACTAATTGACACTAGATGTGCAGTTATATGAGTAAATTATTGAGGTCTGTGAACTGAAGGTAACATACAGTAAGTCAGTTTTTGTATTATGATGGGGATTGTGAAAGGGAAATACTCCTTATTCTTGACAAGAAAGAAATAATTTCATATGACTTTTGGAACAGACAGTGTGCGTTCAGGTGTGGAGCATGAGACAGCTCGTAGGATTCACAGCTGTGGTTATGTAGAGTTCAGTCTTCTGGGATATAACGCCATGTAATCCGTTGAAAGTCAACCAACATTTTGGAGGAACATGTCGCCTCCATCTTCAGATACAAAGATCAAGCCATGTGAGAAACTAGCTGGCTTCTTGCTTGGCTTATTCTTTGAACCTGAAGAGAGAGGTAACATGTTCATCTGAAATGTTGATTTAATTTCAACAGACACAGCATTATATCAGGCAGCACGCGGTAGCGTAGTGGTTGAGGCACTATGCTACAAGCCAGAAGGTCACGGGATCAAGTCCCGATGAGGTCATTGGATTTTTTTCAGTTGACCTAATCCTTCCGGCTGCACTAGGGCCCTGGGGTCCACTCAGCCTCTAACAGTAATGAGTACCAGGAATTAATTAAATAATTATCCTGGGGAGTAAAGCACAGCCGGCACATAAGGCTGACAACCTTACCGCCATCTTTGAGCCGATTGTCTACATAATGTGGGACTCTCAACATCTCGCAACCCTATGGGCCTTCACGGCCTGGTACAGGGATAGCTTTACTTTTTTTTACAGCATTACATCCTGTTGGATAGAGCTCTACATGAGACAGCTTAGGCAGAAATGGCTTAGGGTTATCAACATTCTTTGAAGAAGTGTTTAGATTTTTTTCCTGAAAATATTGGTTGCCATGCAATTGAAAATGGCAAGTCAGATCACCAGTAGTACATTCTGACCACAAAAGGCGGTGCTAGTGTCAAATTCATAGGAACAGGAATCCAGAACAAGTAGATAAAAGTTTGTGGAGCCAAAGTATATAGAGTGGGAGTCTAAATTAGCAACTCACAGAACAGTAAAACCTCTTTATATCTCACATAATCAAGAACTTGGGATCTTGGTGCATACAACACAATATAAAGTGACCTCCTATGGTGTGAGGGATCCAGAAGGACATGTTAAACAATGTTGTGGCATGCACTACTGTAACCATCTTAATGTTACTTTTTCCTCACATGTGGAGGGTTTTTTTTTTAGGAATGTTTGCCATGGAGATGAAGCCCCATATTGGCTGTACTGTGAGGGTTGATGTCAGTTCAAAGCAAGGACATATAGGTCAGGCCATTTTGGATTTTGAGATTGTCACAGCAAGTGACTATGAAACAGTGCTCTTCTAGAATGTAGTCTGTACAAATTTTACCGGAAAATACAACAGCCGATCCCAAAAGACTGTACTGTCTAGGAGTTTTACTTTACTCGTGTTCTGTGGAAAGTGCCGTTATGTGTCACACCTGTCTATGAGCCTACACTTAACTGCACTGTAAGACTTAGAAACTCCCATAGCTGGTCACGTGATGTGAACAGTGTGAGAACTGTGTTGTGGTCACCAGTGGGAGTTTGTTCTGTGGCCTGGTATTCCTGATCATCCTGTGCCTTGAGCACATTTATGTATAATAGGAGAAGAGAGAGAGACCCTGAGGGCTCAGAATTAGGGCTAATATTCTTCCATCTTTGTTTATTTTTGTAACACATTATATTTATAGTTATTTTCAATATTGTGTTCCTACAAATGATGTATGATTAGATTTATGCTGCTTTCAAGTACTGTGCTATTCCGAACAAGGTACAGTGTCAGCCATTTATGAAGTTCTGAGGTCAACTTAAGTGATGGGTGCTGGAAGGAGAGGTCAGGGAGAAATTGGGAAGGAACTGTGCGGTACAGTGGGCATTTTCGGGATTGGTGGATTGTGAAGGAAGTTGCAGACGGATGAAACTTTTATGAGGCTCACACACACACAGTGGTAGCCAGAATTAGTTTGTACAAACAATCATTTTTATTTACTTTTATGAAGTATAATGTAATTTTTCACAATGGAATTGAAAACAGAAGATTATGTTTCAATGATGACAGTTCATTATGTATGAGTCTGTCCATGTGCTAAATCATAATATAAGGAAAGAAATTATTCATATTCATTGTATTTCAATGTTATATTGAGGTAATCTGCAAAGTTTGTGGAACATGTCTGCCAAATGAATGTTTCCTTGTGTAGACATGACTTCTCGCCACCTCCGTTAGTGTTACTATTCATGGGACCATGTTACAAAAATATGCAGCACACAAATAAAATGTAATTAGGCTTTTACTGTGGTGGCTATGAAGCGTGCTGTCTCCTGGTTGTAACGCTGTGTTGTCTGGTAGATTACTGATGGTTCAGGGTTGGACAGTGAGGTGTTCAAGCAAGCAGCAGGTAGAGTGATGCTTGTACAGCTTACTCTTTGACCCTTGAGGTCAAGGCAGTGTGTTCTTCTGAAACACAAAGGTCATCCAGAAAGTAAAGACCATTTGGTGATTAAAAATATAAAATGAATAGAATTAAAAAAAACATTTTACATCGTTACTTGCAGACCTTAGATCATTTTTCTACATAATCCCCATGAACAATCAGGCACTTGTCATACTGTGTGACAAGTTTCTGTATGTCTGCACCATAGAAATCTGCCACTGAACCAATCTTCAACTATCTTCTTCGCTTCTTCATCACTACCCACACTCGGGCCGGTGGCCCAAGAACTACTTCAGGTGTGTGAACAAGTGAAAATCACTTGGACAGAGGTCCAGATGGTGGGGGGGGGATGCAAAGAAATGTCCCAGACATTTTGTGTATTCAACAAGTGAATTACAGCTTGCACTTCACGGTCGGTGGGATTCTCAATTCTCTTACTGATTTTTAAACTACAAAAGATGGCAAAATGATATAAACAGTGAGTCATTCAGTTGTCCTGTTATTAAGACTACTGAGGCCCATTAAGCTTGAAATGGTACAGTCCTTTGAGCTGCGCAAGTGCTATTCGCGAACAGTCTTTACTTTCTGGATGACCTGTGTGTCAGTAAATTTGTGCCCCACCATATAGTGTTACCTCCCAGAAGACAGTACTCTATTGAATTTAGTGTTTCTGTCAAATGGAAGCAGAAACTAAGGCAAGTAGGCTCTTGGTAGTGATTTCGGGTGGGAACTGATACAAAGCTATATGTTGATAACCAATTCCTGGTATCAGTAACATGTGTTGTGTTGTTTGTGTGACTGAAATGTCATTCAATTTGGTGCTTCTGCAGAATGTCTTGCAACATCAGTGTAAATAATACTCAGTTGTTACTTACAGGCAACCCTTACTTAATCAAGCATTAACTGTTGTGTCCCTTGTACAATGGAATTTTACTTGCAGGTCCAGCCATTTTTCTACTGAAGTGGATTTTGAAACAGGAATGGAACGAGTGAACAGTAATTGATGAAATTGTCACTCGTTATGTTCAAACTCTTGTGGCTTTGACAAGCAAGTTTTTGTGCATTTGAATGTCACCTGTAAATGAAATGACATTCACGTACACAGTGACAGCTGTCCATCACTGAATAGTATCAGCACTGGCATGCAAGATTTGTACATTTATTGTAGGATCTAGTAATAATTGAGCCAAATTTTCTTTCATACAAGGAATTACTTTATTTAACTCTGCCATTCATAAAACTTCAAACAGCTGCTCGTTTGTAGGCTGTGGGATTGAGAATCCTCCTAACATAACTGCTTGCTAGCATATGTAATGATGGGCTAGGAAGTATGTTGTCTTTCATGTATATGGATCATGCAGGGGTCTTTTTTTCATGTAGTAGCAAGACAGATAATTTGGTTACTAGTAGAAGGTAGGTTAGTATTCTCTGGTCCCTCACTATGGCTCTAAGCTCCCCTCAGCACACAGGATCTGTTTCTTCCTGTCATGCTGTTTGTTTTCAACACTCACAAGCCAGGCATAAGATTTTAAAGGCAGATGAATCCCCATGACATGCAAATTATGTTCATCTTAACCTGTTTGGGTGAGGTTCGCCATTTCCTCTTTGCCACAAATTCAAGATTGCTCTAAGCATAATGACCTAATTCAGTGAATGTTCTCTTACATGTTATAGCAGAAGATTGTATTAAGCAAAGGTTGCCTGTCTTGAAGTGTTACTATTACAAAATTTTGAAGAACATTAACATTTATCACTCAGAAAATTATTTATGGATATGTGGAATTATTATGATCATGTAGTATGACAGTCAACATTCTTAATTGTATATATTTATAGATATTTCTGTATGTAACAATGGTGTGATCTGATTCAAGTTTGCCTTGAAACCAAATAATACTTTCTCTGAGGTTCTCAGAGCAAGGTTGAGATTATGGTCTGCTAGGGGTGTGAAGCTGTATAGGTACCAACATCTCAAGGAAACTTCCAGCTGCCATATTCAGGGTGGAAGAAACTTCTACCCTGAAGGTGAAGGAAGCAAGCTTCTAGGATGTGACATGTTGTGGTTTGGTAGACAGATGGATGGTTTTGTCTTTTATGCTCATGTTTTATGTTATGAGGTTTGCAGTGAGTAATTAGATGAAGGCTTTCTGGATGTGATGCTGAAGATCGAGGAGGCAGCAATGTTGGTACCTGTCTGCTAAACTCCTTGGTATCAAATTGTGTTGTGTTACCATATTTACACACTGAAATGCACAGAGCGTCAGCCTTGAGTCCCACCTCACATCTACATTGTCTTCTGATCATGTCCAATAAGTGTTTCTCTCACAGTGTAGCAGTTCAATTGCAGCATTTTCTAAGAACCTAAGTTTTGTCGACAGATTCCAATCTTAATGAAAGTGTATCTGAAAATTGTCTGTTATCTGGATAAGGAAAACAACACACTTTTGGCCTTTTAAATTTTCTCTGAGATGTTTGATCTGTGTGTAGTTTAACTTATTTTTGACTTACCACTTCATGTGATGAATATAGATTCTTCACAGAATTTGCAGGTCTGGCTCAAAAACTAAAATGAAGTTACATGCAGAGATTTATGTTAGCAAGTGAGCAGACTACCTATATGGCAGAGTAGATGTTTGCACATGTCACAGCTGCCTATTCAAGTACTTTGCTGCGTGTAGAGTACCTTAAAAGTGTATAATGTGAGAAATGTACATATTTACAGTAATTTTTTTAAGTCAAGCATTATAAGGCTCCCTGCACTATGGCCCTGGGGTTGACAGAGCCTCTAACAGAAATGAGTACCAGGAAACTTCCTGGGGGTAAAGGGCAGCTGGCACATGAGGTTGACAACCTCACCATTGTCTATGAGCCAGTTGTCTAGAAAATGTGGGAGCCTCCACAGCCTTTTTACTACAAGGCTTTGCAGAACTGAACCCTTATGTAAGTCAGGGAATATATTTCCCTGCTTTCTTAGACAGGTTTTCATACTCTTCTTGTACATATACGTGACACCTGATCTGTTTCAGTGGTTAGTAACAAGGGCTTGCTGTATCTAACAGGCCCTGCCCCCCAGAATAGGTACCCTTTCTGTGTACTTGAAGACTGACAAGAGCCAGCCCCTAAACATCCTACATACTTTTTATCTGGATATTGGCAGTGGTCACAAAATATTTCAGTAATGCCACAAAATTGATGTGTTAACAGTAAAATTTATACACGTAGAACATGTGATTTGGTGGTGAATTATTGTGTTTAAAATGTGACACTTCTTGCAGTCGGAAGGGAACAGGTTCCATTGAAAATAAACTCTTTTTAATCCATGGAACATCTTTGAAAGATGATGTTATTTCTAGATTTTGTGGTCGTAGAGAGGTTAAGAGGAATGGAAGTATGTTTTTAGGACTTTTGGCATGAAGAACACATTTTATTATCTTGAGATTGAGACATTATGAAGTGTCCATATAATAATTCTTTTATGTGTAAATATCTGCAGTATTTCCAGATGTATCAACTCATTCATACATGACTGTACATAAATCTTACGTAGCTTTAAGAACTACAGTATATTCCTATTCATTGATGAATTAATAAGATTTATTTTGGAATTGCTTTATGATTTGGGGTTTTCAGTATGTTTACGTTTGTCACGAGTGTCGAAACGTTGGCAGCCATGACTCCTCTACCAGTATAAACGAGAAAAACCTACTGTGGTTCAGCAAGGCCAGACCTTACCCGTTTTATATGACAGTGCCCCCATGTGTTACTAATCATTTCATAATTTATTTCCTGCACCATTTCCTGTGTGGAATTTTAACAAAAACTGTTTCACATGTCTGCTTTACAACTTGCAGGAACATCATAATTCGTTAATTTGGCAAGTCCTTTTCAAAATCCTATACTCTTTCTGCTTGGTTTGTAATTACTAAAGAATGCTGCTTGCTTTTGGGCTGGTGGCTTGAAATGGTCTTGTTAAATTCAAGGAACACTCCTATAATGCTTATACATGCTAAGAAGTGCAGTATGGACGCTTAACAATTATGTAGGTACATGATGTATCAATGTTGAAATCATTTACACAGCCCTGGCCTTTTGAGGTTTGGCCATTATGTTATGATGTGGTTACACATTATACACAGGCCACAAGAGATAACAACAAGTATGTTCAGGTTTATTTTTATTGAAGTTATCTGTTCCATGAACTTGTATCAAAATCATTAAATTTCTTTGTTATGGCAATGAATATACACACTGTTTGACCATTGTTCTGTTACCTATTTCTTTGGTACCACACAGTGATGACTGGTGCATCAGCCAATTTCCTAGCCTCAAGCCTAGAGATGGAAACTAAAATGAATACTGGACAAAACGATTTCTTAAATGTTTAAACATATTTCTGCATAAGTCACTGCTAACAGCTTTCTGCGGGTCTAATAGCAGTGTGGGTGAATGTTGTGACTTGTACAAGGTAACCACTCATTGGTCAGTTTTAATAAATCACTAATTTAATTACATGATCCTGGAAGTTATCTGTAAAAATGGAGGTAGAGAGATCTTGTAGCAAGCCAGCTGGTATTTTCATATCACCACCAGAGTATATTTTACTGAACAGAACATTTTGAAGAAAGAAACCTTGTGAATCCAATGAAATATGTTGCCTCATTTCCAGAATTTTATTCATGGTTTCACTGTCTTGTGTGATAACAGAATTTTATTGCTTTTAAACTGAATATTATTCTCTTTTATACTTTATACAAGAATTTTATCTTTGTTCCACATGGGTTATCTACAATAAAAAGTATTGTCATGTAGAGTTAATGGAGTGACTTTTCTTTAAAGAATGCTTAACTGCCCTTCAAGAAATTCTCTCTGTACTGTGCTGTATGCCAACAAGAGAATGTAGCATAATGTCTCAGTGAAACTACAGAAGTGTAATTTTTAAAAATGATTTTTAATATAGGTCTTATGTTGTTAGAACAGGTGAGTCATGACAAACTCCACAAAGCAGAATCCTTGAGGAGCTAATAGTTGCACAGCTGATGAGAGATTTCCAGAATTTTATGGAGCCTAAAGGTTCATTACCATGTTCACAAAAGCTCACTGGTGATTGCTTCCCTAAGTCAGATGAATCTAGTCCACACCCACATCTCCAACCTGATGTCTTTCCTTCATGTTTACCTTCCAAGATCCTGCGTACATTTCTCTTATGTCCTTTGTGTGCTAATGCCCCATCCATCTTCTTTAGTTGATCATTGTGATACTATTTGTGAGGTATTAAAAAGCTCCAAATTATGTAGTTTTGTGCAGCCTGTATATTTTAATCCCTGTAAAGTCTCAATTTTCCACTCAGAACCCTGTTCTCAAACACCAACAGTCTGCATTCTTCCCCTATGTGAGAGACTACATTTCATACCCATAAAAAAACCCGGCAAAATTATAGTTTTGTAATTTAGACAGTAGTTGGGAATGAAGGATTCTGCTGAATAGCAACAAGCATTGCCCTGAATTTAATTTCTTCATAAATACAATTCTGGTTTGTTGCTGACATTCTAAAATAAAACTGCTCTGCATCCTTAAAGGATCATTAAGCTGCCTATGTACTGTCATGCAAGTCCTTATCAGTGATATGTGAAAGTAAAAATGTGTGGAAACCTACACAAATTTCTTAGCAATTCTGACCAACTGATTCTGTATAGCCATTTTCATATATTGTACTGTTGATTTAAAATTCAAGGAATACCAACATCAATATCAGAATCTTTTGTCTTCCCAACAGACTAAGAATGTGAAGATTAAAATATACAAAACCACTCTGTCTACAACAGTAAGAACACAGACTGAGGGTGATGTGAGAACAAGGTGCTGAGGAGAATATTTGGCCCAAAGGGGGTGAAAATGACAGGATGAATAAACTTGCATAATGAAAAGCTTCATAATTTGTATTAGGGTAATAAGATTCAAGGATGGAAGATGGAAACGCTGAAAAAAAAAAAAAAGGAATGACTTACGGGTCTTAATGTTACCATTTCATATTGTGCAGCCTTGTTTAAGATTATGCCACACGGAGAAGTTGGTAAGGTGAAAAATTCTGTTTTCTGGGATATAATGCCATATAGTCTGTAGAAAGCTAACCTGAT